GCAAATTTCCTCAGCTGCTGTTGGTCTGAAAAAGTCTTTATTTCTCCTTTACTTTTGAAGGATAATTTCACTAGAGAGAGGAATCCAGGTTGGTGGTATTTTTCATTCGACACTGAATATTTTACTCCATTCTCCTCTTTGTTCAATGGTTTCTGACAAGTTCCCTGTAATTCTCATCTTTGTGCTTTCATAGGTAGGGTACTTTTTCCTCTGCCTACTTTCAAGATTTTGTCTTTGGTTTTCTGCAACTTAAATATGACATATGTACATGTAGATCCTTAGCATTTACCCTGCTTAGTGTGCACTGAGATTCCTAGACCTGTGTTTTGTCATCAGCATTAAGTGCTTCATCTATATCTGCTCCATTTTCTCGACCTGGTTTTCCAATTATGCATACGTTATACCTTTTGAAATTGTCCCACAACTGTTGGATATGTTGTACTTTTATAAATTACTGTTTTTTCTCTTTGCATTTCAGTTAGGAAAGTTTCTATTAACCTATTTCTTCAGCCCACTGATTCTGTCCTCAGCTGTGTCCAGCCTGCTGGTGAGTCCATCAAAGGCATTTTTCGTTTTTGTTACGGTGTTTTCTAATATTTCTTTTTGAGTCTTTCTTAAGAGTTCCCTACTCTCTGCTTGCATTACCCATATGTTCTTGTATGCTACTTCTTCCATTAGAGTCCTCAATGTAGTAATCATAGTTAAATTCCTGATCTGATAATTCTAAAATTAGTAATAAGTATGTATCTGACTCTATTTCTGATGCTTGCTTTGTCTCTTCAGACTGTTTTTTTCTTACCTTTTACAATGCCTTATAATTTTATTTTTTGCTTAAAGCTGGACGTGATGTATTGAGTAGTAGGAATGAGTTAAATAGCTATATGTCAATTATGTTAATGTGGCTAGAAGCTGGGCTATGCTTTTTTTTTTTTTTTTTTTTTTTAGACAGGGTGTCACTCTGTTGCCCAGGCTAGAGTGCAGTGGCATGATCTCGGCTCACTGCAACCTCTGCCTCCCGGGTTCAAGCAATTCTCCTGCCTCAATCTCCTGAGTAGCTGAGAGTACAGGAGCTGATGCCTGGCTAATTGTTGTATTTTTAGTAGAGTCAGGGTTTCATCATGTTGGCTAGGCTGGTCTCACACTCCTAACCTCAAGTGACCTGCTCACCTCAGCCTCCCAAAGTGCTGGGATTAAGGGTGTCAGCCACAGCGCCCAGCCAGGGCTATAGATAATGTTTATTGCAGCTATAGGTATCAGAAACTTCAGTTTCCTCCAATATTCTTGTTTTTTTCCCTCTCTGTTGTCTTTGGTTTTCCCTAAGAATTCCTTCGTAAACAGAGTATGTGTCTTGCAGCTCCTACAGTTAATAATGTACTATTATCAAGGTAGAGGCCTGTTGACATACATGGTGGTAAAATGAGGAGGGAAGCATCCTATAATGTAATGATTAAACCTCAGTCTTTCAGTGAGCCTGAATGCTTGTGCTGTGATCTTCAAAAGTATTCGTCATCTTTTTTTTTTTTTTCCCTCCAGCATGTGAGACAGGAAGGCTAGAGGAAGATGGAGTTGGCCAACTGTCCTTCTCCTAGGTTGGATAAAGCTCTGGAACTCTTTTTCCCTTGTAAAGTAAGCCATGTTATTGAGAATACTCGGGACATACTGCAAAATGCTTACTTCTCTTTTACTCCTAACAAAAACCATAGGGGACATTTCTCAAAATTTCACAAAATAACCTGATAAGCTTCCTGGAGGTAATACCCATGCAAGTGAGGAAGTCCCCCAAGAATAGGCTTGCAGAAGTTTGTTACTCTTAAAACAGTCTGTACTTTGCCCTCAGCAATTCATCCAAATCACCATTTATGTATTCTACATAAATGGCACTAGTGTCTTCTGCTTCAGATAAGCTGATCTTCATTGTATTTACTTGTCTCTCCAGATTTCAGGTAACAATTTGTCCTGTGACCTCAATTTTCTGAAAGGTCTAAGAAAAAATATTTTTAGTTTTGTTCAGCTTTTCTTTTTCTTTTCTTTTTCTTTTTTTTTTTTTTTTTTTTGAGACAGAGTCTCAAGTACAGTGACACAATCTTGGCTCACTGCAACCTGCACCTTCCAGATTCAAGCAATTCTCCTGCCTCAGGATCCCAAGCAGCTAGGATTACAGGCAAGTGCCACCATGCCTGGCTAATTTTGGTACTTTTAGTAAAGGTGCAGTTTTGCCTTGCTGGCCAGGCTGGTCTCAAATTCTTGGCCTCATGTGATGCGCCCACCTCCGCCTCCCAAAGTGCTGGGATTACAGGCATGAGCCACCACACTCAGCCTCAGCTTTTCTCTTATTGCAAGGAGAAGAGTGACAAATTCCAAGTTCTACGTGTCAGAGCTGAAACTGGAAGTCCGCTATTTATTTTTTAAAAATTCTATACTAAATATTTTCTTAATGCATAACATATGCCAACTATAAGTTTTGAATAGGTAGTAAGAAGCAAATAAATGCTGAAAAAAAATACCCTAAAAATCTAAATGTAACTACTTCACTAAGGTTTAAAATACACACTTCATCATGATATTGTCATACGGGTAAAAGCACTAAAAACCTGGTCCCTGGTGATACTATTCCTAGATGCTTCCTTCAGCCTAGAAAATATCTGAGCAATTACACAAAGTATTAATGTCATTGGAAAATCTCATCTCTTAGTGCCAAGGTCCTAATGTTTATTAGGTTTTAGGTTGAAATGTTTAAGGATAATTGAAACAAAACATTATGAAGTTTTAGTATTCCTTTTCAACCTTTAACTTATAGGACGCTGATTTTTTATTTTTTTTATTCAGTATTCCATACTAATTTTTTAAATAAGGACATACAACTTTCTAATCTAATACAATAAAGGAAGGTAATCCATTTTGAAATTATACAATATACTCCCTTCCAGCTAAATGGTCAACTGCAAAATGTAACAATTAGATAAAACTAGATAAATTGATACTGTTTATCTGACATGCAACATTTACCCAACTTTATAACAGATTCGTAAACTAATCTTTTTCAGGTTTTCAGAAGAGTTCACATATGCAATTGCATGTATTGCCACCATATTCAAATTTTAAAATAGAGACAAAAAATTGTATTTAATATGAGGCTCAGAGGCTGAAGTCAGGAAATACAATTAAATATAATCAAACCAGCCTTCAATATCACTTGAGATAATTCATAGAGCACAGGCTTTTATATGTTCAAACTTGTACATCAATGTCTAAAAGAATCATGCATATATAACAATGAAGACTACGGATGTAAAATGTAACTTTATCGTATAATATCTTTAAAACTTAGATGCTCAATAAACACAAAAAGATGCTCATATCACCAGAGAGACGCACAAGAACCAGAAGCAAATTAGGCAATGAAGTCACAGCCACCTTGATCTCATCTCAAATTAACTAAAGGAAACCTCTTAGAACAAACCACTCTTGAATGGAATGCCTATCGAGCATTCCACATGTTATACCTTTCGAAACTGTCCCACAACTCTTGGATGTGCTGTATTTTTATAAAGTTATGTTTATGTTTTATGAAGTTATATTCAAGTTATGTCTTTCTTTTTTTTTCTCATTTTTTATTTTTTGGAAGTGTGAACATGCTAGAATTCTCACAAATTTAAAGGAGGTAGTTTGCATCTCCATGGTATTACTTCTTCCATTTAGAAGCCTTGCAGCATGGAGTCCTGGTCTCTCCCCAGCTTTCAGGGTTCCTCTCAAACTGGTCCTGCTTAGCAGTAACATCCCTGCTAAATATCGCCTTCTTCTGTGCTACTCCTTCTGTCTGTTGGACCTCTGCACCCACCTCCATACCCTAAATCCAAATCTTATTCAATTGTCAAAATCAACTGTTATGGTCTGAATGCTTATATGGCCCCCAAATCCAAAGGTGAAACCCTATGCTCAAATGTGATGCTATTAAGAGATGGAGGGGGTGCCTTTGGCAAGTAACTAGGATTAGTTGGGGTCATAAGGGTGAAGCCCTCTAGAGTCCCAAGAGAGGTTGCCTCCTCTGTCCACCATGACTGGACAGCAAGAATGCCACCTGTGAATCAGAAAGGTCTTCATCAGATGTTGAATTTGCCAGTGCCTTGATCTTGGAGCTTGAGTCTCAAAAAATTATGAGAAATAAATTTCTATTTTTATAAGCTACTTAGTCTATGGTATTTTGCTATAGCAGTCCAAACTGACTAAGACACAAACCTACTCCACAAAGTCTCTCCTAACCCACACTGGATTTTCTCCTTTGTTTAATCCTGAGGTGTCTATGTGATTAGCAGGCCACAGTTTATCACTTAATCATTCTCTAAATATGAGAGAGAAAGCTTCTTTAAAGTAAAGAACATGGTTTATAACAGGGGTTCCCAACCCCCGTCTGTGGCCTGTTAGGAACTCAGCCACACACATGAAGGTGTGTAATGGGCGAGTGAGCATTACCACTGAGCTCTGCCTCCTGTCGGATCAGCGGCAGCATTAGATTCTCATAGGAGTACCCTGTTGTGAACCGTGCATGCGAGAGCTAGGTTGCACACCTGATAATCTGAGGTGAAACAGTTTCATCCGGAAAACCATCCCCCTGGTCCCGGTCCGTGGAAAAATTGTCTTCCACAAAACTGGTCCCGGGTGCCAAAAAGATTGGGGGATGCTGGTTTATAATACTTTTCTCCACCATTCCTCCCAGTACAACCCTAGAAAAATTAATACACGGTCAATAAACACACAGTTGATTACTAACTGATAAACAAAGAAGGCAAATCATAGGTTGTTTTATCTACCCATATTCTTACAGAAAATTACCTGAAGAGTTAAAAAGTCCCCCAAAATCCTAAGTTTACCAAAATATGGCACCACGGGCCTAATGCCACAAGCAGAGGTTTCCACTGGTATAACTCTTAACCTTAGCAGGGTTTCTAGAAACATGACCCTCCACTCACTGTAAAGGAAAGTAGACATTAACAAGGACATACCCTCTGATGTTTTAAGAATCTTCTTGTCTTTTGGAGCCAGTGCATGCCCAGCGTGACTGATAATCCAAACTGGAAAGCGTCTGTTTGTCAAAGAGTATAAAGCCTTTGCAAATGGCACATAAAAGGCAGAAAAACCTGGGTTACCTAATAAAAGAAATACAGATGTTAGATTTATCAAAGTAATACACATGCATAAGATGTCATGTAGACTAGAAAAGATGGGTCTGTTTCTCTTCACACTTTCCTCTGTATTCTTCAGAGTATGCAGGGAGAGACATCTTCAAACTTCCATTAAATTCACAGCAGTACCCTATTTAAACGACCTTCAGTGGCTGCCAGATAAAGTCATCTGGAAAAAGCCTAAAATCTGTATGCTCCACATAAGGCGCTTCAAGATTTGGTCATGCTCAGCTAACAAGGTGCATGAAAACCAGAAAAACAAGCCAGCAAAATAGTGTAAGAAGCATGCACAAGGAGAGCTTTAAAGAGTCAACTGTTTCCTTGTCACTTATCACCAGTACTTATAATTGTAAACAGGTGTACGGCTTGATCTTTTGGGGAAACAAATGTCTACAAGTACATGTAGATTTTTCTTATGTGTGTACAGAAGGTATTTTTGACATGAGTTTGCTATAAAGAAACAGAATAAATAAACGGTCTTTTTAAAAATATTCAATCTGATATATCTGTAGGAGGAAATTACAGTGAAATGGGATTTTCATCTTGTAATCATCAACTATATAAAGTCTTCAAAGCATTTCCATCAATATCTATTTCTCTGATCAGTTTATCTATTTCCTCATGTTGTTAGGCTATCTTCTCTCTGCAATTACATGACATGGTTCTGGAGCACTGATGTAAATAACCACTGCCATCCTTGTCAAATTTTGCTAATTTCTTCTCTGTTTTTTTATATCTTTCCGTTTACTAGATAAGCAGTGTAGTAAAGTGGTTAAGAGCATAGGCCCTGGAAGCCAGACTGCCTGGGCTGGAATCCTGGCTTTGCCATTTACCAGATGTGTTGGCTTTGGCCAAATTATTTAACATCCCTGTGCCTTGGTTTCCTCATTGAAAATGTGTAATAATGGTACTATCTCATATGAAGACTAAGTGAATCAATATATGTAAAGCATTGTTACACTGCCCGAAACATAGTAAGTACTAATAAATGCTAAGTATTCAAACCTGTACAACAATGCCTAGCTAAAATGGTAATATACAATGACCTTGGCATCCATATTATTTTGCTTCTGTTGTATTCTGACCTAGTGATCTAAGTTTCAAACTCCTTTTTGTGATGGTGCTTTTGGCCTCTTTGTCAAATAGCATAAAAACTTCCTCAAATGCAGAAATATGTTCTCTGGTCAGTTTATTGGGCACTGTATAGCTAAAGGAGAAGGAAGGAAGGAAGGGCATACCAGTACAGGTAACATCGATGGCAGCTGTGGTTGGCACTATTTCATGTTTTATGCATTTAAGTCTTCAATACGTTTAGAATAGTTTTTAGTAGAAAATACTAAATAGCAATCCAACTTTTTGCCAAGTGACTGGCCAATTGTTCCAAGACCATTTATTATATAATCCATTCTTTCTGCATTGATTTGAAATATCTTCTGACCTAATACTACCTTTTTACATTCGCTTGCTAATTCTAATATCAAATAATTCAGTTTATTTTTCCTTTTCTCCTCTGCTAGGACCATACTGTCTTAATTACTACATTTTTTAAAATGTTTCAGTAACCGGTAGGGCAAATCCCTTCTCTTTATTCTTCTTTTTCTAAATTTTCTAGGCTGTTTCATAAACTTTAGGGTCATTTTCACTAGTTTCAATTTTTAAAAATCCCTTTGGGATTCTGACTAAAATTTTATCTCATTAATGTATTACTTCATAAAAAATTTATATTTTTTATATTATTGAGTATCACCTTCTAGGAATGTGTTATACCTCATATTCACATTTTATGTTGCTCATAGATTTCTTCATATGGCTTGACAATAATAATTAATATGTTTAGGCACTATAACTTATTACATGCCAGGCAAGGCTTAGGTGCTTTACATATATTATTTAATTATCATATGAGATAGTACTATTATTACTTCCATTTTATGGATGAGGAAACTGAGTACAGAGAGGTTAAATAACTTGCCCAACATCACATATATGGTAGGTGCTAAATAAATATTTGATGACTGAAAGTATATACAAAAGAAAATCATAATACTGAATTTTTTAAAAACATCATTTAATCTGGTGTAGGATCTTCTGCATTACTTGTTTTAGTTATTTTTACGGTATCTCTAAAAAGTAGTTGGCACTTTCATTAGAAATAATGAATGGACAGCCACTTGCGCAAAACTTGGCACATGTTAGGGGCTGAATAAATGGCAGCTATTAAAACTACAGCTATTACAACAATTAAAAACTGGTGTAACATTAAGGAGATGCCAAAGATAACCCCATGATTCAGATGCGTTACAATGACAGGATATACAAAAAACAGTGAGTACTAGATAATGGATACTTAATGCATGCGGGGCTTAAAACCTAGATGATGGGTTGATAGGTGCAGCAAACCACCATGGCACATGTATACCTATGTAACAAACCTGTACATTCTGTTCATGTATCCCAGAACTTGAAGTAAAATTTTTTTTTAAAAAATGAAGAAGAATAAATAAAACGAGGTTTTCTCCTTATCTCTGGGTTTAAGCCTGAGTTCTTAAGCTTTCTGATCCACTATTTTATCACCATCAAGTAAATAATGATGTCAATTACTTATGTTCACTCATTCTATTCAGAATTACAGCTTCTTTTAGCTGTCGATTATTTATTGAGCACTTACTGTATGAAAGTCACTATGTCAGGCAAAAGACAGATGAAGGTCTTTTTGGAATTTATATACTAGTGGGAGAATATACAGCACATAACTAAATAGGTAAGATAATTAAAGAGTGTGAAAACTTCTATAAGAAAATAAATAGGGTCACATGATAGAGAAGACATTAGAGTAAAAAAAAAAAAAATCTCAGGAGGTGACATGTAGCTGAAACCCCAAAATGGCAAGAAGTAAATCTTGAGAAAACTTGAGGGAACGGAATAAACACTAAGGAGGGAGAAGAACAAATTCAAAGGTCCTCAAGAAATAAAGATCTTAGCTCTTGAAGAAATGGAAGAAAGTCCATAATCCTTGGTTCCTTCCTTTGCATCTAATCTATCAGTGTGGCTAAAGCATAATGAGAGATATCAAATCTTGTATGAGATAAGGTTGAAGAGGAAGAGAAATGCAATCATGTGATACCTTTTGGGCCATGATAAGAAATTTGGCTTTTAATCTAAGTAACATTAAAAGAGATTGAGCAGGGTTAAGGCATAATCAGATTTAAATTTTAAAAACATTTTTCTATCTTAAAAGAGTAGGAAAAATACAAAAATTTTCATAGCAATACATTTAGCAACTTAGAGAAAACAGACAACCTTCTAGAAAGACACAAACTATCAAAGTTCACTCAAGAAGAAATAGATAACCTAACTAGTCCTATATTGATTGAATTAATTGGAATATAAGTTAAAAATGTTCCACAAAGAAAAACCAGGCCCATACAGCTTCACTGGTGAATTCTATCAAACATTTAAGGAAGAAGAATGCCAAATCTATACGAATTCTTCCAGAAAATAGAAGAGAAATGTATTAGTCTGTTTTCATGCTGCTGATAAAGACATACCTGAGACTGGGCAATTTACAAAAAAAAAAAAAAGAGGTTTAATGGACTCATAGTTCCACATGGCTGGGGACACCTTACAATCATGGTGGAAGGCAAGGAATAGCAAGTCATGTCTTACATGGATGGCAGCAGGCAAAAAGAGAGACAGTATGTGTAGCAGAACTCCTCTTTATAAAACTATCAGATCTTGTGAGACTTATTCGCTATCTCAAGAACAGCATGAGAAAGACCCGCCCCCATGATTCAATTACCTCCCATTGAGCCCCTCCCACAATACGTGAAAATTATAGAAGTTACAATTCAAGATGAGATTTGGGTGGGGACACAGCCAAACTATATCAATAAAGAAATATATTCTAACTCTTTCTATGAGGCCAGCATCACCCTTCTACCAAAACCACATAAAGACATTGCAAAAATAACAAAAAAGAAAGAAAACTACAGACCACTATCCCTTGTGAACAAAGATGGAAAAAGTCTAAACAAAATTTTAGCAAACTGAGTCCATCAAAATGTTGTAAGCATAATACATCATGACCAAGTGGGATTTATCACAGGAATGCTGAACTGGTTTAACATTCAAAAATTAACATTACCCACCACATTAACCAACCATAAAAGAAAAAACATATGATCCTCAACAGATGCAGAAAAAAGTGGAAGTTTTATCCTGTCAGAAATATAATTAATATTGTAGCATGTATAAATACCAAACTTAAAAGTTTAACTTCTTTAAAAGTAGCCATCACTTGCTATAGTTCTCTGTATCCAGTGGCACCAAGCGGCACTAGATTGGGCACATGGCACTCAGATACAATAAATCCTTTCAAACTGAATGAATGGTAAGTAACATAAAGGTCTAACTTGGAGACAGAAGTGGAAAATGCAATGCAAAATGCTTAAATACTAATCCATGCAGTACTTCATACTTCACCACTTAAACCTCCTTGTTAAGAAACCGCAAAGAAAATTAAAAGGGCCATGTTTATGCAACTAAACAAGACACACACAGAAGGGTACAGGGGAGGTCCAGGTGTAAGGATGCTGGAAAACATTCCAATGCAGACATTCAAGTAAAATATTTAATCAAAAGTTTACATCAAAATGTGTTATAAACACACACTTGTACACACTCACAACAGTCAAATCAATCAAATACCCAAGCAATGTATAACAGAGGTTGTAGTGATCATCTCTAGGCCCTGACTGGTAATAAACTTCAACTATACAACACTGCAAGTATAAACTTATGTCTTCTAGTTAATTTTGTAGGGGAACAAAAACTGTGACATATCAAGTTAATATGGTAAGTATCTATATAATAGGTTGCCATGTGTACAGACCTATTAGACTCATTCATGGAGCCATGTCTGCTAGATCTCCAACCACTGTGCTCACAACACTCGATATTTCACA